AAGCAAATAACTAAATTTAAATGCCTTAAATTGGAAACTAAATTTACTAAAGTTGAACGAAGGGAGTAAAAGATAAAGATAAAGTTTTTGTGATACAATAATTATTACTTATTCAAAATAACTATCATTATTTATTTTGAGTTTATTTGAAATTAATTGTTGACTTTTTCACTTTTTAAGGTAGACAAATGTTTTTTTTCCTAATTTAACTCTATCATTATCCATTTATTTTGATTAATTATTATATCACAAAAAGTCTAACTTTATCTTTGATTTTTTTAGGGTAACATAAATAAATATATAAATTGTCCCTAAATCCTTAATTTAAAGAAAAAAATTAAAAAAAAAAGACTTTTATTTTTGAATAAAGAGAGTAAAGTAAAAGAATAATAATAGGATTTAAGTATGAAAATAATATTTATTTACTAACTTAAAAATTGAAAAAGACAATTAATTTGAAATAAATTTAAATAAAAAAAGGATAGTTATTTTTTGATAAAGGGATTGTGATATTGTCTGAAAAAAAAGAGAGTCAAGATAAGAATATAAAATTTGTTATTTTTTTTAGTTAAGGATATAAATTTTTTGATTTTCTAAATTGAAGAATGAACTTTTATTTTTTTTTAATTGAAAGATACAAAATTTATCCCATTCTAATTAAAATTGTCATTTACGACATTATTATTGCCATTTAATAAACCTTTAGATAGAAAAAAAAAAGGGTAAAATTTTTTACCTTTATTTTTTTAAAGAAAAATTTTTACTTAATTTAAAAACTTAAAAAATTCATCTTTAAGTAAAAAAGACAAAATTTGTAATTAACACATTTTCTCGATATTGTCATATAGCAACTAGCATGACGTTAAAAGGTTTGTAGCGGTTTAAACACGCCTAGAATGATAACAAAACAACTTAATTTCGAGTGACATTAGGCTCTTGAAGTCAATTTTGTCTGTCTGTGCTTGTGAATTTGTAACCGTCTTATATAACAATCAATGTATCTACTTTTACTGATCAAGACAAAGGCAGAAGCAAGGAACATCACAGAATTCATGGGATGGAAAATAATAAATAAATA